TTCTACAGAAAATATGGGAGCTTGACTGATTGACCTTACAAACAATCCTGATAATGAGTATGAATATTATTCATTATATTACTACATAAATAATTATTATATGAATCAAGGATATTAAAATAATGAATTTAAATTAAAAGTAGGGGGGAAAGAACCACACAGTTCTTATTCACTATTTCACATCTACAGATTAAAGAATGGGTTGGACACGCAAACCAATATCTTCAGAGTTAGCTATTGTAAGATTTTTTAAAAGATTTTAATTGCAGTACATCTCCTTTATCTGGTCTTTATCATAGCTCTTAGATGTCAAGCCTGTTGCTGGTGGATATTAATAGGAATTGAAGTCCATTGCATCTACTGGACCAAGTTGAGAAAGTTTGGCTGATCCAAAGGACTCAGGCAAGGTCTTAACTCAGAAGACAGAATGTCAGATTTGAAAGGGACCTTAGAGATTTCTAGTCCAACCCCCTGCTCAAGGAGGAGAATCTGTATTATTTCAGACAAATGGTTGTCCAATCTCTTCTTAAAAGCCTCCAGTGTTGAAGCACCTGCAACTTCTGGAGGCAAAAATTCCACTGGTTAATTATTGTTAGGAAATTTGTCCTTAGTTCTAGGTTGGTTCTCTCCTTGATTAGTTTCCATCCATTGCTTCTTGTTCTGCCTTCAGGTGTTTTGGAGAATAGCTTGACTCCACCCCCCCAGCAATGTTTATTTATGATCCCATATTGTTGCACTTACCGTAAAGCTTCTGGATTTCAGCATGATCCTCTATGTGCAACTGGTATTGCAATGGGTCTCCTACTGGTCCCTGGTAATATGGGTGCATGATTGAGTGCCTGGAAGATGAATGTGCTAAGCCAAGACTGTGCCCAAACTCATGAATGGCTACAGCAAAAAGGTCGGTGCCAAAGTCATCTGTCAAACAGTAAAAATCACTGGTTGAATGATCTGGACTGAGTCTACAAAGTGAGAGAATGAATCACAAATGCACAGAACAGAATCAAAAAGACAGCAAAAATATCATCCTGTCCAGTAATCTCCTATAAAGTAATGTATCCACACTTTGTTGAATCTTTATGGCATCTTGAGAGCTGTGATCAATGCTCAGTCTAGATTAGAAGGAAAAGTACCTATGGATAATGGCTGCCTCCTCTTAAAATGGTTCATCTCCTTCCTTTTTTTCCTTGAAATCATTTCACTTCTCATCCAAGAAACTTCTTCAGTTCTTGGATGCTCACCCAAGAAGCTGAAGAAACTTCTTGGATGAGAAGCAAAACGTCTTCAAGGAAAAACAAAGAAATTCTAGTTGAAAAAGCACTTTGAGGCAACTTTGACCTGGATGACTGAGAATCTCCATAGACATTCCTCTCCTACAATTCTCAAACTTTAGCCATTAGGTACCCCAGAGCAGAGAACTGGATTTGCCCTAAAAGTTGAATCTAGGTCTCCATCCTAGATAATGGGACCAGGTTGCATCATAGAGTGAATCTTTGGATACAGGGCAACATCCCAGCCTGCTTAGTGGATGGAGGAAAACTCAAATGGGCCAGACTAGCAGAATTATTTTATTTTTATTTTTCCAATACTGGCTTCCACCAAATCTTCCCCACATGAAATCAGAAGGACAAGTTCTTCTTGGTTATGGTGAAAGTCTTAGAGTGCTGTAAAAAGATGAAATAATGGGAATAAACCCATGATCATGATCAGAGGGGGGAAAAATATTTCTTGGTTGAGGTAGACGTTAGGGGCCCTACTTGGGAAGTTTGACAAAACAATGAAAAATCCCTGTGATAGAAGAACCACTTCATAAAATGCATTAGGGAATGTATATTTACTGTGGTGTTTTTTTTGTTTGATGGTTGCCCTACTTCTATGTCACAACTTTAGCAAAGCCTCCTTCTCCTCAGGTTCATTGTAGCTCCTTTTGGGCATTCACTTGAACCCATAGAGAGGTCAGCATGGGGGAAGAAAAGTACATGCAGCCTTCAGGTCACTCAGAGGGTGTACTCACATTCAAGGGAAGTATAGTTGACCTTCAGACCTTTAGGTAAAAGTGGGGTAACAAGAGAAGACAAAGGCAGGATTCTATGCATGGCCCCATTCTGCATCCAATGTGAGCCTTCCAGGGAAACATCTGAACAGGTTTACAGTTCTTAACTACTCCACTACTCCTGAAAATCAAATCACCTGGTGAGCGGAAAGTCCATTCTTCATCCCCATCAAAATGGACAGTGCCAGCCCTCTGGGGGTCTCTGGGAAAGAAAGCATGTGCCACCATCCCACCAGGTCCATCAAAAGGATAACTGTCATGGTGATCCAGCTGGAGGAACTCCACAGAGATGTCAGCAGTGTGGCCGCCAACCTCATGAAAGGTTAATGGTATAGCTTCACTCCAAACCTTTAGGGCATAATAGATCAATACTCGCATCGTCTCTCGGCTAAGACGAGCTCTTCGGGGGTAGCTCTTCACCCTATGGGAAAAATAAAATGTGCAGGTGAAAGCAACAAGAATATCATTTGCTTTCCTAAAGCATACTAAATTTGGCTTGCTTGAAATTTAGTTTTTGGGGGGACTGAGGATGTAGTGTTAACCTAGGACATTTGCTTCATTTATGGTGAAGGGCATTCTGCAAATGCGGAAAACTGGTTTCCTCAAAAACCTTTTAATCATGCTGTGCCACTCTGGTGGTGTAGTCAAAATATTGGATTGGATCCTAAACCAGGTTTAATGAAACACAATTCCTGGCTTCACATAACAGACTACCTCCAAAACAAATAGACTTTATAATGGCTTAATACAATGCCCAGGTTCACTTAGCTGGCAGACTCCATTGCTAGGTTCATCTAACCACAATAAACCAGAAGCTCTCCATTTCCATGTTCGCCTAGTTTTCTGAACGCTGGCACTGAATGACGGTGTTTGTACAAGGTACAATTCTTTTCTCAATCTAATTTCCTACCAAGTTAGTGTTTCTCAACCTTGGCAACTTTAAGATGGGACTTCAACTCCAGTATGCTGACTGCAGAATGCTGGGAGTTGGAGTCCACCCTTCTTAAAGTTGTCAAGGTTGAGAAACATTGCATTAAGCCTACATGTGGATACCTACTTCCAGGAGATGTTTCTTTTGGTCCAAACTGAACCAGCACTGCGCCTCTCCAGACTTCTTCTCCTTTGCCACCTCTTCTTCCTTGCACGCTCTTTTAAAGAAAGCTCTGGGGGGAAGTTGGGGGTAATATCAGGCAAGGCACAGCGAGGCATCCGGATCAGACTCAGTGTGGCATTATCTGCAAGAATTCAAGGGAAGAGAGAGAGAAAAACCCCAGAAAAATTTGAACGTTCGGTCCTTGCCCTGTGTCTTTCAACTTGCTTTGCCTCAATTTCTTGGAAACAGGCAATTCTGGGGCCAGTTTTACTAGCAGAATGGCTTAAACCTAAATCTCTGATGGCATCAAAGGGTCTTTTGACCTGAAATGAACTGATTCTGCAGAGTCGCCTCCTATCATGAGATGGGTGGCATATAAATTTAATTAATAATAAATCTGAAAATTAAAGCAGTATGTGAAACATGAACCCTAGTCCTAGCTGAGACATTAATACTACACCCCATGTAGTCACAGCTAGCAAAGATATATATTTCCTAACAGAATAATGCAGATAATTTTTTCTCGATAGTTTCCCTCATTTTATTTCATTTTAGAATCCACTTTGGAAAACAAACTGTTGTAATTTTGTCTAGAAGCATAAATTCCATACTCTTCTTCACTGAAGATATTCAAGAAATGCCTGGGTCTCTCAAGAATGCTACGGTAGCATCTTTCATTGAAGTTCAGACAGTTGGACTGTCCTCTCTCATTTATGGGTTGAGAGAAATATCCATTGCGAAACCATGGCTCCCCAGGGAGAACAAGCAAGATACTAGCATCTCTCAGTTTTATTATACCTAGAATCCCAGTTTCTGCAATGCCAGCAAAACGTTGCATCACACGAAGGGCTGTTGTCACAGCTTCCCAGGTTTGTAGTTGGCCTGTAGTAGGATCTGCTGGTGGAAGGTATCCATAATGGATTAACCACTCCTAAACAAAGAGGATCAATAGAAAACATGAGGTACTATAGTCCTTACCTTTCCTCCTGAGAATTATAAATTCCTTAAACTGGGCCTCTCTAAACTAATTTGTTCCTGTTGTATATTGCTTCTTTGCCTACGCAGAAGAAAAACCACTAAATTCAATGGGGCCAATTCTCAAATACCTAGCTACAAAATTGCAGATTCTGCATTTTGCCAAAGCCCTGAAAGATTCAGCCAGATTTTTGGAATGCTTGTCTGTACCAAGTTGCTGATTTTTCATTTCTTAGAGTTTCCATTTAATTTGTGAAATGCATTTAACTTTATTAAACAACTGAGCTTTTAATTTGTTTTTAAGATGCTCTCAGGGAAGAAAAATCTCACTACTTTTCATGAAAGCCAACTCTCTAACTTGGTGATTCTTAATCTCAGCAACTTTAAGAGAGATGGACTTCAGTTTCCAGAATTCCCTAGAAAGTCTGTCGTTTAGGGAATTCTGGGAGTTGAAGTCCATATTTAAAGTTGCTGAGGTTGAGAAACACTAGTTTAATCAATGTCCTCAAACCAGCTGGAGAAGAGATGCAGCACAGAACTGGCTTGGCTTTCTCCCTTTGTAGGAGCACCTTGACAACTTAAAAATGTATGGACTTCAACCCCTGCAGCTGGGTGGGGAATGCTGGGAGTTGAACTCCACACATCTTAAAGTTGCCACGGTTGGGAAACCCCCTCTTAGATGTTACAGCTCCCCAGTTTTCAGTCCCTTAGGTTTGAGTCGCTTCAGGTTTGACTTACGATGACTTCTCCGCTCTCAGGGGTGGGCATGGGAGCAGGACTGAGGCAGGTGGAGAAAGATGGCAGCAGCAGACAGAAGAGAAGCCAGTGTAGAAAGACGGCAGGTGACTTCGTCCTTTGCTTTTCCTCCAGGTGCTGCTGCTGAGGCCGTCTGTGATATTTCTTAGGAAAACAGACTTTTCCAGCCTCCATCCAGGTGCTACTCACTGTTTTGGTGAGTTCACCACTTCTTCCAATTCTGGACAAAAAAAAAAGATTCCTTTTTTTCTGCAACCCAGCTAAGCTGGTTTATTTTATCTGGGGGGAAAACAAACTCCAGATACAGAATGAGATCAAGGAAGGTTCCATAAATTGGTATTATTTTATATTTGATCCAAAACTTCTATCATATCACTAGCCACTGGGGAAATGGCAAAAATAAGTGAGAACCTTCCTAACTAATCATTTGACAAATATATGAAGTTTGATTAGATCTTCTTCCTAGCAAGATCTTTCTTGAAACTCATCCCCACTAACATTTACTTCTTCTATTTTATCTAAGGGATTCAGCTCAGCAGAGGCAGCAAGCCAGCGATGCAGGGGTTAAGGCGATTCCCTAGAAACCAGGAGACGGTGAGTTTTAGTCCCACCTTAGGCATCCAAGATGGCTGGGTGACTTTGGGTCAATCACTATCCACCATTTTGACTTTGTTGACCCCATTCTGCAAACCCTTCTGCAGAACTTCAACAAGCTCTCTCAATATGAGCACATTTAAGTTCTTTCCAGTTGATTTCCTATGACTAGAGTGGCAGAGAAATCCTTGTCAGCAAAGCAAATTACAGGAAACAGATAATCTGAAAGAAAGAAAAATGGCTGAAGTGCAAGGCCATTTACTCGGACATTTGCTTTACCAGTCAGCCAATGCATGACATACTATCCAGCATAAGGATTGTTGGCACCTTTTGAGTGAAAACATTGCCGCCAGAAAACACAAATACTCAGCTTCAACTTTAGCAACATCCATCTTCCACACTTTCTACTATCTGTGAAATATGTGCTAGAAACCATTTAATTATGATCAAGAACAAAGCCTCATTACTGAAGTTTCTCCAGAGAATATCCAGCTACCTCTTTTTCTACTTTTTACAGAGTATGTCTCTGAATCCAATCTGTCAGTCACTCATCTTGTCCTATTTTGCCAGTTATTGTCGTTCCCAGCTCAGTTGAACCCAGAAGAAACAGGGAGTAAAGTAGCCAGTTACTACAGACGAGAAAATACTTGCTCATCCACTCAATACAATTTTTTTCAGAAAGGACTTGCCCTTGCCTTCTTCCCAGGGTTGAAAGAGGGTAGCTGGCCCAAAGTCAGCCAGCTGGACTTTCTGCCCAAGGCAGGAATAGAACTCATGGTCTCTTGGTGTCTAGCCTGAATCATGACAACAAATGATCTGCCTTAGAAATTATTACTACTTTTCAAATAAAAATAGGTATTGGGGAAGATAGCGACTCACTGTAGGTTCAATTAGTCTACTAATAGGCAGGTCTCAGTCATAATAGCTGAAATAATTCTGTGAGACCTAGAGAGCCATCTCTTTAGACCAACTTTTGATAGATGGATGGCTAACTTACAGCAGGAATGTCTATGGGGTAGGGGGTTGGGTGGGAGTGAGATGCCCAGCTTGTGCATTAGAAGCTCATCTCTTTCAGGAGCATGTAGAAAAGGGTGGGGTTGAATCTTGCAGGTGGTATCTTGAATCTTTTACTGTAGATTCTTTTTAATTCCAGGCAGTCTCCTCCCTCTTCCAGATCCTGCCCTTATTCTTTTTCTCTCCCTTCCTGCTTATGAAAAAGAAAAATTTTAATGTCCAGAAATCTTTATTATCCCTTTGGCATTTTGTTTTATTTTCAGCTTAATTGCCTATTGATGTCAAAGCGGATTTTTCCAATTTCTTATTTAAGTCTCTTAGTTGTCAGTATAGGGAAGGAGAGAGAAGGGGAAAAAAAGCCAAGCCTTTCCCTTTTCACTTTCCTTCACTGCTTCCGACTCTTCTTTGGGAGAGATGTTATTTTTTTGTAAGTTTAAATTCCAGGGTACCTTAGTTGTTGCTTTTACAATTTAACCCGGTCAGCCAAAACTTTCACTTATCTTCCTCCTGCACATTCTTTTCCGGTCGAGTTCTTCTTTGTGGTGGCCATTTCTGACCATCGCTGCAACCACCTTCGGGAAAGGGAGTAATGGCCAGCTGAGGAGGAGAGATGCGGCTCTCCTCGACCCTGCTGGCGGTCTCCCCACTCTTCACCACCTCTACAGGGTGGCTTAGCCCCGAAACCAGCCGGCTCGGGGCGCTCCAGCGGCGAGCCCTGACAGAAACCGTGCATGATCACGGATTTCTGTCTGTTGCCAAAGCCCTTCAAACCGGAAGTCAGGTGGTATCTTGAATCTTTTGTGATCTGTCCCTCCCCACCATGGATATCCCTGCTTTATAGGGATTTTGTTGTGGGGGGGGAGGGAGAAGGGGAAGAGCTATGTACCGTGGCTTTGTGGAGGGAAGAGAAAGGGGAGGAAGGAAGGGAAGGGAAGGGAAGGAAAAAGGGAAAGGGAAGAGCGGAGAGGAGAGGAAAGGAAAGGAGAATGAAGTTTACAAAGACAGGAATTCTATAACTCTGTTGTAGGCATCAGAGGTACTATAGATTTAAATTCAGTGCCATTCCTGCCCTCTGGGAAACAATCTCTGAGAGCCAATTCTTTGTAAAATATACAGGCTCCACATCCTCAATTTTCTACGACAAAAAAGGAGACTTGCATTAAAACTGTCACTTTAGTGATTGGAACACCTCATTCATCAACTGTGCCCAAACATCCCATCTGTGCTCTTGTATTGCTGTTTGCTAGAGAGGCTGCTGTGTTAAAGAGGCTCAGGGATGTCGGTCCGGCTACCTTCCAGGGGAAGAGACCCCGCCGGCATCCCTCAAACCAGTATCAGTTTTTATTGCCTGTCACTGTCATTCTGACTTTCCAAGTCCATACATTTTGCAATCACGCTAAGGCACAAAATGATATACAGCACGTCTCCTTTTGGTTTAACCCAACAAGCAGACAGAAATGATCTAGTTTGCTTTTTTTTTTTAAATGTACAAATGAGCTTTTTTTTAAAAAAAGACCATTTTGCTTACATTTCAACAAGACTCCGTTCCCCTTGTCCCCTTCTCTCTGGTTTCTGAAGTGCCTCTCTCATTTCTAGGAAGGCTGGAAATTACAAGGAAGGTGGGAAGGTGATGTTCTCCCATTTTTGCCTTTGAAGAAGTAGGGGGGGCTCCTACTTACCTGTCCAAATGTCCCCCAAAGAGCAAGTCCTGAAGGATCCCCAAGAGCAGCTTTGCTCCACTTCTACTTTTCCTTGGAAGGAGACTGGGGTGGGGCAGGAGGGGAGGGAGGGGAAGGGAGGGGAGCGGAGACCAGTGAGCGAATCTCTTTAGGAGTGGGAGGCGTCCTTTGAAGAACTGGTCTTTCCCAGAGGACTAAACGAACCCACACCCCACCCTGCTGTGCCGGGACTGTTGGGGGTGCAATTCCTCTAATCTGTTTTTGCCCAATTTAACAAGCAACTTGCAAAGGTTTTTGCTTTACTCTTCACTATTCCTCTGGCTGCTGACCATGTTTCTTATCCCCTTTCCCTCAACTCACAAATCTGCCTTCCTTCCTTCCTTCCTTTCTTCCTTCCCTTTCCCTTCCCTTCTTTTTCTTTCTCACTGAATGTGCAGCACATGCACTTAAGGACTTGTGATTTTGTACAACACACTCAGACTTACATCCCCTCTCACCTCTTGGATCTCTTCAGAGAACCAGCCCTCCACTTCCCTCTTTCCAAACCCACCTGGCTTTTCTTTTCCCAACAGCTCACCTGAGCATTTGGCAACTCACTCGGAGCCCCTTTGTTCGATCACAACACTGGTGCCATCCCCAGCCGTAGACACCCCTCCACACCTTGTGCTAGACCCCTGCTGCATTCAACTTACCTGACGCAAGACTCGGCTCCCCAAAGGCATCCATCTGATCGAGGACTTGGTCTCTTCCACCCGTCAGGGAGGGGCAGCACAGAGGGGAGCAGGAGGGCGAGTCCCGGGAGGGAGGAGTTGCCTGCAGCAGTGGGGAGCAGAGGATTAGGTCCCCAAGACCTCCTCCCAACCCCATTGCATCTCCTGCAATTGGCCATAGGGAGCAAGGACAGGATTTTAAAAATAGTTTTATTTTGTTCTTTGCTTGTTGTTTTTCTATGCATTCTCATAAGGTACATTCCTGTCTTCTTGGACACTGGAAGAAAAATGTGACCGAAATTAGGAAGTGGATCCTGAAGGAGAGAATAATGCAGTGTACTAACCTTTTCTGTCAGATTAAAAAAAAACTGGGAGAGGAGACCATCCTCCCTAAGAAAAGGAGGGCAGTTTAAACCCCCACCTCCTGCAAAGTGCTTTATGATTTAGCTGGTGTCACAGGAAAAGCTTTTGACTCTCAAATGCATCCAGCTTTTTTTTTAAGTTTGCCAACTGAATGGAAAACTAGCAAAATATTCTCCTTCTGCTGTCCCCAACACGGTGGTCTTGAGTTATGAATTCTCAGCCTTATGGCTATGTAGTCCCTTAAAGCCTCTGGAGGATGTTAGGTTGAGGGGAGAGAATTTTACATCGCATTTAAGTAAATAAAACAACAGCCACGGGAATGAGAAGAGGCCCAACCACAGTGAAGCTGTTGATTGGTTTAAAACGATAGATTTGGAGGAAACTACCAAGAAAAGATCTTCCGTAAAGCCATTCTCAATTCTTTGGCATTCAAAATTGAAAAAGCAGAGAGTGTTCAGTTTCTGTAATTAAAATACGAAGTGGCTTGAACACATTATCTGGATAATATTAGTTCTGCTTCTCATCCAAGAAACATCGTCCATTCTGAAGAAGCTTCTTTTATAAGAAGTGAAATGTCTTCAAGGGAAAACAAAATCCAGTTGCCTCTTGAAAAAGCATCTTTGGAACACCCATTCTTTTTTCAAATAAGAACATTTCTTTAAGGTGATACTATAACAATAGAAACTTAATAGTATCCAGGTAATGTGTTCAAGCCGCTTCATATTTTAATTCCATGACCTGGACTGAGAATGACTGAGAATCTCTATAGATGAAAGGATGGGTGGGCCTAGGACATTCATGGTTCTCAAGAACTGGAAATCAATGGGGCTGGAGATCACATGCATTTGTGTGCATCCAGTTTTACATTTTCAAAATGGTCTTCAACCTGTACCTTTCTGGTTCTAAACTCAACTGGGTTTTCTATCTACAATTCTTTCCATCCACCCAGATCATCTGAACTTCACCGGCTGCCTAAATCTCCTTTTCTTCCTTATCTGGTCTGAAACACTAAGCAAATTTCTGTCTGCTTTTCCACAATAGTTAGATGCCTCCTTGTTTTCAACCTGCAACTTGATAATCAGCCTTTATCATGAAGGATCTTGCTTGTCCTTTCATTCCTTTCAGCTAAAGGCTACGCCCATTAACCTCCAAGCAGAGGCAATTGGGCCCTGGAGAGACTTTACTGGGATTTATCCCCTTTAGGAAGCGATGAGTCCAGAATGGCTATTTTGGGTGATGGGGTTAACCGGGGCCTCTGTAAGCTCCAAGCAGAACAATGCTGGTTGACAATGAGGCCATTAATCTGTTGGGAGATGGCTGTGACCAGCTAGACTTGAGGTGGTGTCCATGGTTACACAGACTGTGAGGCTCCTATTTCTCAGCCCTCTCTCTCTGCAGTGGGGTGGGTGGGTGGAGGGGGCGGAGGAATAAAGCCACCCTCAGAGCAGGCAGATGGTGGAGGAACTGAACATGGCGTTTACTCCTAGTAGAACCTTCTCTAGTTCTGGGCACAACGTGGGAGATATTCTATTGAGTAACTTATAAAGAAACTTTATCAACTTTGAGCTACTTACAAAGTAATAAAGGCAGGATAAAAATACAGATACTCCTTAACTTATGGTCACCATTGAGCTCAAAAATTCTGTTGCTAAGCAAAACAGTTGTTAAGTGAATTTTGCCCCATTTTAATTGCTACAGTTGTTAAGTTAGTAACTCAGTTGTTAAGTGAATCTGGCTTCCCCATTGACTTTGGTTGTCAGGAGGTTGCAAAAAAGGGGATTGCGTGAACTGCAATGGTTATAAATGAGTCGCTTGCCAAGGGTCTGAATTTTGATCATGTGACCTTGGGGGCGCTGCAACGGTCATAAGTGTGAAAAACGGTCATAACTCACTTTTTTCAGTGCTGATGTAACTTTGAACTAAACTTGTAAGTTGAGGACTATGTGTAATAAATTGTGGATTTTGGTCCCCAAATGTACTATTATAAATTTGGATACTGAAAACTGCTCAGTTTTCTGGAGTGGCCAGTCATAATAAATGTAATACAACCAATTCAAATGCTGCCAAATGAAGAAAACTCTTGGGAGGATTGTGTGAAAAGATTAAAAGCCCTGTTCTAGCAATGACTCCCAGTTCCTTTGCAGGGCAAAGCCTTTTTTTTTTAACGAACTTGGACTCAGCTGGCCTTCCAAAATTCTCCATAAAATATGTAGGCAGAGAAATGGGGTGACCCTTTCCAAATTTTCCCTGTAGCAGACATTTCCCAAAAACCTCTTAAAAATATGGCACCCCTTAATGACAGTACTGCTATTGCTTAAAAAGCTCCATGGGAATTGTCTCACCCTGATGTCTTTTCTTGAGATTTAATGAAAGCGTGGGAAGCCGGTAAGTTTGCAGACCACTGGAAAGAGGATCACACAATGGAAAACAGGATATTCACAGGCATGCACTCCCGCCTCCTCTCTTGGGCTGGTTTCAAAGGGCTTTTGAAGCAAATGAATTGCAGACCTGCGGTAAAAACCTGGGGAAGAAGACAGTAATTGCTCCTGTACCCCACACATGGAGGCAACCCCTTCCAAAGGGTGGTTCATAATTCAAATGATCGAATGGTACTCATTCAAGGCAGCAAAATAAATCATGAAATTAGAGCCCCAGAATGATTTCAGCATCTGGGGTCCTGCTCCATGGATGTAGGTTGCAGCAAGGCAAAAATGGAGGGTGAAGAGTCCGAAATGGGAGGTCTGAAATAGGCCCTTTGTCTTTGCATCCTCAGCAACGTTTTGCCACCTCAGCTTAGACCCACTGCTGAATCTTATGAAGTCTGATTGCTCATTTTTGTTTAAAGAAGAGATCGCAGGAAGCATCACCAGAAAGTGGTAAGCTTCAATATTCAAGGGCTTCTTGGTACCCAGCTGACAGCATTCTGAGACAGGCCATCACAGGGAAGTTCTAGTCTAGTTGGCAGCAGGACAGGTCTTCTCATTATTATGGGCCAAACGTTGCTGAAAATAAATTAGCAGAAGGGCATCTTGAATGGACACAGAAGTGGCAGCATGCCCAGAACACATGCGGTAGATGAGTCACATCCATGGCACCCATAATAATATCCTGTGGGTGCCATGGGTGTCAAGGCTAACAGTGCCCCATTAACAAATGCCAGAAGCAGATCTCAAAGGGAGGCAGAGAGGGTGAACCACAACTGATCCCCCTGGCAAAGACTCTCCAATGCTTGATCTCAGGACACAAATGGGAGAGATTTCTGGTGCTCATAAAAGGCAGGCAGTTTTTCCATGGAGTTTCTGAACTACGAGGGAAATTAATATTCAAGATATGCATTTTCTTCTTTGAAGGTCTATAAAAAGTCTTCGCAACTTCGCATCACTCAACTTTTTGATATTGCAAATCAAGCAGGTCAGAACTGAAGAATCTTCTTGGATGAGAAACCAAATGTCTTCAAGGAGAAACAAAATCCAGTTGCTTTTTGAAAACGCACCTTTGGGACAACCAGGAGCTGGATGACTGAGAATTTCCATAGACAAATCAAGCAGGGTTCTTCATTATTTCAATTACACCAGCAGAATTTGTGAGCGGATTTTCAGGCTAGGTGAAAAAGGAGTCCTATAGTAGGGATCCCCAAACTTGGCAACTGTAAGATTTGTGGATTTCAACTCCCAGAATTCCTCAGCCAGTAATGCTGGCTGGGCAATTCTGGGAGTTGAAGTCCACAAGTCTTGAAGTTGCCAAGTTTGGAGACTCCTGTCCTACAGCATGCAGAGAAGGGTCCAGGGATTGAAGGGGCAAGACAAGAACACACACCTGTTGACATTTGGGGAACTGTCCTCGTAATATGGCTATGGGAGAGGCAGCAGCATTTACAAAACAACTATGGTCTGGGGAGCACTTTGTAGTTCCTCTAGGATGTTTCTACTTATTAAAGCTCCTGACTCCTAAAAATATGTTTGTGCATAGGGTGGAGGGATAGAAGGTCCAGACTGAGGTCCAGAAGGTGGTTTGGATACTGACATAGGAAAGCTTATAGCATGCAAGGTTGAGAGATGAAAACAGCATCTTTAGACAGATGTCTAGATTTCCATCAAAGCCATTTCAACAGGCGAGCAAAGCCGTTAATGCAGCCAACCTTTTGCAGAATTGGGTCTGAATAGCAATAGCACTTAAGACTTACATACTGCTTTATAGTGCTTTACAGCCCTCTCTAAGCAGTTTACAGAGTCAGCATATTGCCCCCAACAATTTGGGTCCTCATTTTACCCACATCGGAAGGATGGAAGGCTGAGTCAACCTTGAGCCTGGTGAGATTCGATCTGCCAAATTGTAGGCAGCTGGTTGCAGAAGTAGCTTGCAATATTGCACTCTAACTACTACGCCACAGAAAGCTGAGAAATGTGCCTCCGTTTGCCCAGTTTATAAAAATAACGCAGGACTGTGCATTTTTAAAATCTCATTCCAGATGTTTCAAGTCTCTGCAATTGAGAAGCCCTGACCCGACAGGATTACGCCATTTCATCCTTTTAAGAGGATTGTGGCAGAATCTGGCTGGTATCCTCTCAAGGCAAGATTTCACAGCTCATTCCCATGAAAGCTCATTCAGTATCAGCCCCAATCAGGCAGGAGGGCTGGGGGCTGCGTTGCTTTATATCATTGGTGGAGGAGAGGAAATAGAATGGAAATTCAGTGGGCAGAAACAGATTTTTTCCCCATTGGAAATCGCTATGCTTGATCAACATCTCGTTAAAAGGACAATAAACTGAATAATCTCTATCTGCCACTGCCAATCCTTGGCTTGTGAGTTGTCCTAGACATTTAAATGATAAATATGGAACTAAGACTTTGGAAGATTCTGCCAGTTAAAAGAGTCTATATTAAAGTAGATGGAGGGAAAAAACCCTATATGAATTATATAATTTGATTCAACATGTGAGCAATGTGGTGGCTCTTGGCCAAACTGCTCACCTTTGCTCTTATTCATTAAAAGCAAAAATTGGGAACATGGCAATTTTCCCCAATTGTGGTTTGTTCCACACCATGATTTGTTGAAATAGTGGTTACCAATAAGCCACAGTCAACTAGATTCTGCAGCATGCTAAGGCCAACTAAGATGAACTGTTTTATGGCTTAGCATTAGCCTGAATATGAACCTGGCCTGTTTTGGGGGTCTTTCCTAGATTCACAAGGATTCTTGGGCAATAAAAATGTTGAATGGCTCCAACAGCTTGGTTTAGAAATATGTGCACCTACCAGAAAGAAAGATAAAAAGCTGGCAGAACAGAGTTGGGAAGATCTTTATAAGGTAGATTATGTAGGAGGGGACAACCATCCCAAATCTGCCTTTGTCATCAACAAGTATTACTTATATTCAGTTGGATGGACTGAAATACATACTGTTGTTTTTAAACTGAGTGACAGCCCCTGCAATCCCCTTCTACCCAAAAGCCAGGTAACAGAATACCACAACGTAGATACCACAACGTAGATACTACAGAGCAAAAGATGACACCTACAAGTCTAATGATTTACGACAT